AGAATTTCGCATAACCTAAGCGTTTATTCCAAAAAAATTGTGTACAACACTATCATTCTTCCTCATTTGTTATATTGTTCGACTATTTTGTTCAGTGCAAATGAAACTGTATTTTCAATATTACAAAATAATATGCTGAAGGAACACATTGGTTAAATATCAAAAATTCCATAGCCTACTTGGTTTTCATATTCAAGTTGAAAAATCATCTTGTACCAAATCACTTAGAAAATTTTATTGTATTGAACAATGAGTGCCACCATTATTCTACTAGAGGAAGTATAGACTTTCATTTACAGAACTGCAGTAGCAATATAACGAGCAAGTCAGTATTTCAAAAGGGATTGTACGAATTTAATAAATTAAGCTACGACATCAAGATGTGTGTCAGTTTGAAATTCATAGTAGTGAAATTGTGTATAAAAATATGTAGTCTTGATGACATAACATATTTTGTGATGTACTGTGTAATATGGATATTATGAACATTGTAGCATTAATGCTAAATAACTCTCAAACAAACAAAAATAAAATCTATGTTACAAGAATTGTAGTGGTTGAATATAAAAAATATCATATTTGATTCTCATTTTCATATTTGAAATAAAATATCATCTTTTGTCACAACATTTAGAACCCTACATAGAATTGAATAATCATTACCAGAATTATTATACAAGAGGAAATATCGATGTTCATATTTAAAATTGCACTAGTAATATAACTAGCAAATCAATATTTCTGAAAGGATTACTTGAATTCCATCAACTAAATAATTATATAAAGTCTACTTGTAACTTTAAGATGTTTAAAAGATACTTAAAGGCATATTTCATGAACACTGAAAATTCTTAGAGATGCAAGTTTTCTTTTTCCACATATCTGTATGTTATGTAATTGTTGTAGTTTTTTTGAAAGAATGTAATTCTAGCATTCATGCTTAATAAGACAAAGAAACAAACAACTCGACAAGAAAAGAAAAGAAAAATGGACACTGATGCGATATGAACCTGCATCTCTATGATTTCACCACAGTGATCCTGCCATCTAGGCAACAGCACCAACTAACCAAAGTTCAGAGTGATCTGTAGGGTGTTTCGTTTTCTCCGCAGTTGTGATTTTCACATGACTTTTCTCGTCTACTAAGTCTCACTGGTGCAAAATGTATGTATACTAGGGTGTCCCAGCCTATGAGAGACAAACAAATTTTTGTTCGTTTGACTGTAAAAATAGTGCGATCAGGGAACGAAAACCTAATTCTTAATCGACAAGTAAAACATTATTTGTAACTTCTAGTCAGTATACACGCAACGTAATAAAAATTGTTTTTGTTCCTCATCAGCAGTGATTAAGCCATGGAATCTTGCATTAACTTGACTGCTCTTTCTGCCGTATCGTTAACTACTCTCAGTGTTTGCACCTTATTCTTAGCCTGTGAATAAGAATCATTATGTGGCAATGAAGTTGGACACTCATCTAGAATACTTTGATCAATTTTGAGTCGACTGAATAAGGGCTTGATTTTGGTTGAAACAAAGTAATCGATATTTTTCCCTGAAATAAAAAAACGGAGAATAGCTACGATCTAAACATACTGGTTTTGTTCGTCCGATTGCAGACAGTTAACCATGGACAGATGTTTTGTGCTTTTTGGCAACTCATCAGCATCGTGTAGGCTTCGCCTTAGGTCAGTACAACGAACGAAATCATAGCAACTAACCTCTATCTGAGGAATAAGATCTATCGAAACAAGACAGTATAAAGTGCCATATATTACCAAAATCGCAGTTTATGATGACTTATTTTAACAGTTAGCATATTATATCGAAGCAGTAAAAAAAATTCTCCTCTTCATCCCACAACGTCAACGCGGGTGTTCCCCAGGGATCGGTCTTGGCTCCAACACTGTTTCTCTTACATATCAACGACCTCCTTTCCTGCACGATCAACCCGATCCACAGCTTCGCTGATGACAGCACTCTACATGCAGGAATTCAGAGTGACAAGCCGATCTCTGCCGCTGAGCTGGAAAAAAGAAGACTAGCGACGACTTCTTCTCTGACAAGAGACCTGGAGGCTATCACTGCTTGGGGACGCAACAATCTTGTACAGTTCAATGCTTCCAAAACACAGTACTGTACTTTGACGAACAAAAAGCGTCCTAGCGCTCATACAGTTTCGATGGACGGTCGAGTCCTACCAAAGAGCCATTCATTTCGGCTGGTCGGAGTCCAGATCACCGAGGACCTGATCTGGCACGAACACATCTCTTCAATAGCTGCAGCTGCTGGGAAAAAGCTAGGCTATTTGTTTAGGGCTAAGAAGTACTTTTCTCCGCATGACCTTCTCACTCTATACAAGGCCCAGATAAGGCCTAGCCTCGAGTATTGCTCACCCATTTGGGGTGCTGCCGCCCCGACTACATTGTCCATGCTCGATGCTGTCCAGAGGAGGGCGGTCCGACTGATCGATGACTCTTCTCTAACAGACAGTCTCGGGACTCTTTCGCACCGGCGGGCCGTCGGCGATCTAGCTCTTTTCTATCGCTACACCGACGGGCTTTGCTCCTCAGAGCTCTCTTCCATGATGCCGCCGCGCGATGTGCCTGCCAGACAGACCCGCCTGACTTCGGCGTCCCATCCTAACCGTGTCAAACTTCGTACATCCAGAACTGGCCGATACGACCGCTCCTTTGTCCCGAGGGTGTCTAGATTGTGGAACAAACTACGGGAGGAAGCTTTTCCCAGTTCTACTAACCTTAAGCAGTTCAAAAATCGTATTAACAAAATTTCTTTGGGATGATCATAGCAGCCGCGGTGTTCCGGCATTTAGGCTTCTGCCTGCGCGGCTGTTTCGATATAAAAAAAAAAAAAAAGTCAAATGAAAATTTATTCGTCAGACAGACCATAGAAAGTTAAAACTGCTACTACTTGTCCATTAGACGGTTTTGTACCAGTAATTTGATGCTTTACGTCCCCTACTCAAAATGCATCCTTTTTAGAAAAACAGTGCGTTTACTAATAGAACAAACGAGCACTGCAATACGTTAGCTAGCGCGCGCCTAATATGCAAGTTTGGACATGCTCCAACGCAACTCGGCACGGGTTGTTCTGTTTCTAGATACATAAAACTTTATTTACAATTGTTTTGACATTGTTAAAGCAAAATTAGAGGGTATGCGTTTGTAAAAAAAAGAACTTTCATTTTTTCGGACACCCTATTGTGAATGCAACAAACGGCTCTCGCAGCGAGAAAATTCGATGTTCCCCAGCTTTTTGTCAGGGACCGGGACCGCAAGTAAAAAAACGAGAGTCTCCTCAGGCAGCAGCGGTGGCCGCAGTAGTAGACTCTTCGGTCTCTTGTCAGTCGCCGTGCGCTGCGCGGGTTCGAATCCCGTCTCAAGAGAAATTTTTCTCTTGACTATGGACGTTGTGATTGTCCGTAGGTGGTAGACGGTCTTGACTGTCGAACGCGGAGGTACCACCCCGCGGATCTCGTAGGCGGGGCCAGAATGTGTGCATGTTGCATGCACACGTGTTCCCTCGCCAGAGTCCGTGTGGCGTCCCCCCTTCCCCTGTATCCCCCACGGTACCCCTTGGGTGTTTAGGCCTCAGTCCTTCGTGGTAGGTGGAGTATGAAAAAAAAACAGTATTGTCTCGTTGGGTATTGTGAGCAATCATATAATTGTAAAATTAATTTTCTTTTTGTCAACTTTCATCAACAGGTAAAGCTGCAGGAGTCGCCTGACGACATGCCGGCCGGGCAGACGCCGCACACTGTGGTGATGTTCGCTCACAACGATCTCATTGACTTGGTGCATCCAGGAGATCGCGTTACCGTCACTGGCATCTACAGGGCGCAGCCTTTGCAGGTAATAAATTTAAATTTTCTGAATCACCCACTCAAAATTCTTATGATCCGATTTTACTAACAGGCGATCCAAATTCTTGATCCGGATCATAATCGACCCAATGAGAATGCTTTATATGGGTATTTCTTAACAAATTTAGAAATTTCATTTTGCATTTCTCAAAAAAATAATTAAAATATATCCTTTTTTTTGCAGAAATATAAAGTTTTACTGTCGTGAGGTTCATTTAAAATGAAGGTCCTCCATATTTTTGTGTATAACATGTAGAAAAATGACTTTTAAAAAACTATGAAATGAGGGAATTACTGATAGGATGGGGGAATGTTTTTTTTACAACAATTTGATGCTGAATTTCAATAAAAAACATGTTAATTTATTAATAGATGTCCTTCCTTGGGCACATTCTCGTATTTTCATCCTTCTCTAAGAAATTAACAACATCACCCTTAACGTGCAGCTTTTTGTACGTATCGTTTTTGAAAAAATGTTTCGATCTAAACAGGGTGTCCGCAAAGTTGGGGTTTTCCTTTTCAGAAACAACTACCCTTGAAATAACAAAGGTAATGTGTAGTGAAACGAGGGCGACTAAGTAAAAAAAAAATAAAGGAAAAAGTACTCACTCTCCAGTTGACGAGAAGGGCTAAGTACGTCTCTGCCCGAAATCATACCGCTCCAACAGAAAATGAAATCAGCTGAAGCGCTACCGAGCAGACGCAGAAACCACATTGATTGTCTTAGACTTAATGGCACATCTTCTAACAAGTAAGGCAAAATGTTGCGTAAAAAGTCTAGGTATTGCATCCCGTCCAATCGATTTGGGAGAATAAATGGTCCAATGAGCATACCGTTCACCCACAGCCTTCTTAAACTAACAAGCCGTGCTCATATATGTGGCAACGTCGCATCAGCTGTTATGGGTAGTCCGACGCGCTGCGGTGGTCTGACGACTACAATAGGCTAATCCAGGCTGTGGCTAATCTAATCACAATACGGGTATGCAACTATGCAGGGGTATGCAGAGACTGCAGCAGAGTATAAAATATGTTGAAAATTATAATATAATTTCCTAAGCTGATAGTATGGCATGAGAGTTTGTATTTAGTATAGTGGTGAAATAAAACAAATTAAATAACTGCAAAACATACAATATTTATTAGAAAGAAATTTTATAAAAGTTCCTTGAGCATCAACATATTACTATCTAGAACACAATTTTTAACTACACAACTTAAGCTTAAATGAGATATAATATAATATAATATTTCATATACATAGGTTAACTCATTTATGAAAGGTACACATCTTTCTTTTCTTCTGTGAGTTATGCGAGTCTGCAAGCTTTTTATTTTTCAGTTTTTGATTTTCAATATTAGCATTATTTTTATTTTTAACATAGTTATTCAGAAAAATGTTGCTGAAAATGGAGCAAATCATATTCAGAATTTTTTCATATTTCCTATTACAAATTTTACATGTTTGTGCAAAATCATCATAATAATGATCCGATTTTATACTTTCAATTGTGAGCTGACACAGAAGAAGTTTCTGTTGACGACACCCAATAAATTTAACTTCACAATCTTTATTACCCATTATGAATTGCATTATTGAAGCCATATGGTAGAAAATATAAGAAACTCGTTCAGAAGGTTTTGATAAACCATTTCGCTGGAGGTAATCGAAGCAATCATTCCCTGTTAATTTTCCTTTATCCATGCGTACAAGGGAAATGCAGCTTTCACAGTTGTTAAGTTTTTTTGTTATTGCATGACTCGCATATCCAGAAGTATATATTTTTGTTGATTCATCAACATCCACAACTTGCAAATAGTTTGATTTCAATATGAAAACAAAGTCGCTCAATAAACATTGATTGCTTTCAAACGAATCTAAAATATCATTGTCGGAAATCATTGAAAACTGTTCTTTTATATTTGCTAATGTAACATTCTTATTTATACCTTTGAAAATATGTTTTACTCTAATTTTATTTTCAGCAGACAAAGCATCGTCTAATGATACATTGTAATTGCAGCCTGAGAGGATTCGATAAACACCAAATCTTTTTTCTAAATTTTCACTACTAAATTTTCCTGGTAATATAAATTTAATGGAATAATTTTGGAAACAGTATTTTATAATCTCTATTAAAACATAGGTACTTTGTTTGATTGCTTGGAATGTTTCATTAGTAAGGTGACCATTATTATTCTCAATTTTGTGCCATTTATCGAGCCAAACAACAAATTGTTCTAGAAAGTGAATCCTTTCGTCAGAAATGCTTTCAAAAGGCTTACACCAGTCATTCCTCTTTATGGTGCCTTTTAATACATCTCTGGTGTTAACAATGTCCCACCATTTTCTAATAATTTCCACAAAATCAGCTGTATCCTGATACTCTGGAACACATTTCAGGGCTGACATCGTGGACTGGTGGAACACATTGTCAGCTAAATGTACTTTTTGTCTTTCCAGTGTCGATGGATACAAAGATTTAAAATTCAATTTGTATGCTTGTTTAGTCAATAAACACTTTTCTTTCTCATAAATATTTTCAATATGTTGAAATTTTGCGTATTTCAATTCGTCATTTGTAAAATCATAACAAACAAAAGTTTTATGAAGGTTTTTAAGGTTGATCCAATTTTTCCAAATATTTTTGAATATATGCACAAAATCAAATAAAAGAAATATGTTTTTTTCAGAACTTTTTGGATTGGAGAACCAAAATCCATTATGCGAGAGATTTTTAAATATAATTCTGTTTATTGAATGGTTATCTGTTATTATACATATAATTTCGAAATTGCGGGCTTGGACTAAATCAATCACATCTTTAGTCATTTTTGCTAGTTCTAACCCTTTAACATTATGTACAGGCCACAGTTTTATAACTTCATTCATTTGACCAAAGACTGAACTTATCATAAATGTTACAATTGTTTTGGCAAACTCACAGTCACCAGTAGAATTTTCATTTTCCGCAGAGCCAACTAAACTTTGTGATCTATAATCCATCCTACTTGATACATATATTTCATCGATAATCAATGCTACTATTTTTTCATTATCAGAAAGCCCTTTACAGATATTAAGCAAGTAATTTTTGTTATTCATATCATCTCTAGGTGAGACATCTAAAGATGATGAGATACTTTGGAGGTATCTTTTATGAGGAAGCACAAAAAAGTCTCTTATAACATTGTAGCAAGATGGAGACTGGGAATATATTATAAATGACATGATAATTGTTGCAGGACAATACCGATTTTTGTTAAAAACCATTTGCTTCAACTGGTCAATGATTAATTCAAGATGTTTGTTATAAGCAAATGCTTCATCTTCACATTTGACATAAGCTTTTGATATCAATTCTATTGCTCTGTTAAGCAGGTCCATTATTGAAAGTGATTCATTAAAATTATTTGTTGAATTATAATGAGATAATAAATTGTTTAGCTGTGACCATCTCTCTAATTTTAAATTACATGGCAAAATCCATTTTAGGTCACTTGCTGTCAGTTCATTTCCTCTTAAAAAAACCTTAACATGTAGGGACTCATGAATTTTAATTGTATTATTCACTGTCAAGCACTCACCGATGGTTAAGTTGTAAAAGTACAAGTTGTGGTCATGTAGTTTATATTCCCAGTTAGAAATACATTGTTTTTCAAAATTCTCCTTCAAATCAGAGAAAGAAGATATGATATCAGTTTTTAAAAAGTTTTCAATTTCTTCTTCTTGCCTTTGGATAATGGCTTCTCTTCTTTTTTCGGGGTCAGTCCTTTTTGCTTTGGTTTCAAGCGATAGATATTTTGGGAGATTGCAAAACTTACTTGGAACAGCGTTCTGGTTTAATTTGGGGTATTTCAGAGGTATTTTATTTATTTGTCCATTGGGCAAAGTAAATTCACTGAACCGCACAATATCACTGTCACAAAAATGGTTGGCACAAACTGCACTACTTTTTGTAGGAATCCAGTCTTTTCTTGGTATGGCCCTGATCCATTTTTCCAACAGCTCTTGTTCTTTTGGGAATGAAAATGTAGAGACAGGATCCTCAGCTTTCAGAGTGGTATCATAGTTTCCCTTACAACCAGGAACACAACACCGACGAGGCATCTAAAACAATAGACAGTTGTATTTATTAATTGATTCAAATAATTCTAAACAGATACAACTATAGAGAAACACCATATATATGATTTAAAGCAGAGAAATATGTTCAAAAACATAACTACTACATTTTTTTGGAATATTTTACAGGAAAAACGCTTTTTGCATACATAACCTAGAAAAGAACATTTATGCAGTTTTCTATGAACTTACCGTAATTGATAATGATGTATACACACTTTTTGATGAAATCTGTTATTCGATCAATAACATATCCCTTTTTCGAGGAAAGACACTCAAATATAACACCTTATTTTGCTCATACACACCGTGAACACAATCCAAACAATGGGCGTGGGAGACAATTATCGGACTACCATGCATTGTTGCCAGTTTTCTTCAGCATGGCTTGTTAGTTTAAGAAGGCTGTGGTTCACCATGCCAGCCCAAACATTCACCGAAAATTTTTGTTGAAAATGTGCCCGACGGACAGCGTGCGGATTTTCTACTGACCAAACATGAGTGTTGCGAAAGTTATTCACCCCATTACGCGTGAACGTAGATTCGTCTGTCACCAATATGCACTTCAAAAAGTCCGGATTATTGTCATGTTGATGCAACAACCACTCACAAAACCGCACTCTTGCTGGAAAATCGTCAGGTTGAAGGGCTTGTACACGTTGGACGTGAAACGGATACAGCCCCTCTTCACGCAGCGTTTGCCACACTTTAGTTTTTGATACTTGCACTTCTCTAGCCACGTCTCTAGTGCTTGTTGAGGGATTCTCGTCTACGCGATTACCTCTTCACGCGTGACCGTAACCGTCGGTTGAAGGTTGCATACTGACCTGACACACTGACCCCGACCCAGTTCTGTCGTCGGGTTGAGCTAGTGTCCTAGTAGCACTCGGGGGTGTCGCGACTACAGGACGGTATTCAGATATTTTTGATGTTGCAGAGCCCTTTATCTCGGTTGCCTTAAGACATTGGTGTATATGGTACTAAGAAAAATTGCTCGTGTAAAGGAAAACCCCAACTTTGCGGACACCCTGTATAGCAATTTGTATTTTCGCACTAATTGCAGCTTGTTATATTTTTTCCTTTCTCCATGTATACTTCCAAGATCTTCATAGTTATTCTTGAGGTCCGTTGGCAGTGCTTCTCTGAAAATGAGTCTTTTTCTTACAACGTCAGGAACTTGTATATTATATATATATATATATATATATATATATATGTATTTAAAAGCGAAGACATTTTAGTTGCTGGAGAGTTTGGGTCAATATTTTTAGTTTTCAATCTCAAATACCTCTTGTTGTATTTTTCACTAAGCTTGAATGCGTTCCTTACTTTATTTTCCAACTTTTAATCTTCGCGTACAGAATAGCTTGCCGCTTGGGCATTCTACATCTATTGAGAGCAGATAAATTATCTGCTCTGTGCTGTAAAGATGGTGCAGGGCTTGGTGGGGGTGTTCCTTCAACTATTCTCTGTAAATTTGTTTGTAATGTAACTCGATTTTCCCTATAAACTTTACTATTCTTTTCCATTGCTTTCGTTTTTGGCTAGCTTCTCTTGCACTCAGAACTTATTGACTTAACTTGACTTTTACTCTTATATATATATATGGCGAGTTTCTGCAACCTAAGGTCGCTTCTCGCAACCCATACGCCATCGTATCCTATCGTTCCAGTCTCCTTCATGTAGTCCTCTACTTTCCATTGCGGTGTGGATGTTTGAAATCCATTTCCTTCGTGGTCTTCCTCGCTTATTTCTTTGTGCTGGTGTCCATTTCCAAACCCATTCGTTGCAGGTGTCCATACCATTTTAACTGCCTCTCTGTTATATCGTCCATTATTGTATTTTCGACTTCCATTCTTTCTCTGATGGTCTCATTTCTAACATGGTCAAGTAAAGTTAAACCGGAACATCTTCTCCAGTACATCATTTCGGTTGAGAGAAGCTTTTGTGACATATTTTTATCTACAACCCACGCTTCTGACCCATACGTCAGTACTGGCTGAATCATAGCCTGATATATAATTTTTTTTGTTTTCTTTGTTAGGTTCTTACTCCACAAGATCGGATGTAGTGCTTTAATCATATTTTTTCCTTTTCCTATTTTCCTTAGTATGTCTTTGTTATCCTTTCCGCTTTCATCTATTGTAACTCCTAGGTACTGGTACTGTCCGACGTTTTCTATTTTTCCGCTTTTTGTTTCGATGTCTTGTCCTGTGCCTCCTATAGTCATGTATCGTGTCTTTTGTATATTTATCTCCAAACCCCATTTAGTGAATTCTTCTATCAGTTTGTTTATCATGTAAGTCATGTCTTGCTGGTCTTCTGCAAAGACTACCTGATCATCTGCAAAGAGGATTGTATACAAGTGAAAGTCCTCTAACCATATCCCCATGGGGCTGCACTTTCTTATCCACTGTTTTAAAGCGCTGCAGAGATAAATTTTAAACAGGGTTGGAGAGAGGCAGGAGCCCTGCTTAACACCTTTTGTTTGTGGGAAAGCCTCAGAAATTTGATTTCCGACTTTAACGACCACTTGATTTTCTCTATACATTGCTTTTACGGCGTTTATGTATTTGCTGTTTATGCCTGCTTCTTTCATTGCGATCCATAATTTCTGCAAAGGGACGGAGTCGAATGCCTTGCGGAGATCTATAAAAATAGCGTGTAGCTCCATTCCTCTTGCTAATCTCTTTTCTGTCAGTTGTTTTATTGTAAATATGTTGTCGACACAGGATCGCCCAGGTCGGAATCCACTTTGTTCTTCAATTTCCGTGGCTTCGTCTTCTATTCGGGCTGTTAGGACTCTTTCGTACAGCTTTCCGATGGACGATGTAATACTAATACCCCGATAATTACTACAGTCACTCCTGTTTCCCTTTTTATAAATGGAATTTATGTAAGAGCTCCTCCAATCTCTGGGAATCGTTTCCCCTTCCAGGCACTTGTTAAAAATTACACAAAGTAGCTCGTGCGTTCTTGTGGTGGCGTGTTTAATTAACTCGATAGGCAAATCCCCCGGTCCCGGAGCTTTATTATTTTTCATTTTTTGTAATGCTTATTTCTTCTAATTGAATGGTATCTACTCTGTTAACTCCCGTTTGATCTATATCTAGTTGCGTGTCTAAATACTCTCCACGTTGTTCTGCCAGTAGATTATTGTAGTAGTCTTTCCACTGTTCTATTTTTATGGGATTTATTTTTCTTCTTTCATTCGTGTTTGTTTTAAGACCATTTATAGTTCGCCAAGCTTCTCTAGACCTAGATCCTCCTACCATTGAGCTAATTTCAGCACATTTGGTTTCCCATGTTTTGTTTTTTATTTTTTTAATTTCTTTTTTTACTATATATTTAAAACGATTATAGCTTTTTCGATCTTCATCGTCTTTTGTAGTTAACCATTTAAGATATAAGTTTTTCTTTTCTTCTACCAGTTGGGTTAAATCGTCCGTCCACCAAGAATTTTTGTGTTCCGTTCTATCTTTAACACCAAGGGCTTCTAGTGCTGCTTCGTGAATTTTGTGTTTCAGAGTTTCATACATTTCTTCTGCCTTGCCGTTAATATCTTCGTCCAGTTTTTGTGCTAAACGTAGTTTGTAAAGGAAACTGGTGGATTCATCCCTTAAGCTGTCTATGTTATATCGCTTTGTGGGTTTTCCATTGTTATTTTGTTCTTGATATATGAGATGTTTATTGTAAGTAATTTCAATGGGTGCTTTTACTAGCAGGTGATCTGAACCGCACTCAGCTCCTCTCCAAACTTTTACATCATAGGGTATTATGGAAGAGTCCTGCTTAATCACGACATAGTCAATAATTGATTTCAAGTTTTTTGTTTTTTGAGTCCAAGTATATTTGTGTATGTCTTTGTGTTGGAAAAATCCGTTTAAGATTCTTAACGAGTGTTGTTCACAAAGCTCTATCCATCTGGTTCCGTTTTCATTGACTACTTCCTCTCCGTGTTGTCCAATTATTTTAGTGTCAAGAGCTTTGCCCACTCTTCCGTTCAGGTCGCCTATCAAGACTATTTCTTGTCTATTTTTCGTCTTATCTAATTCCTCAGAGAGTTTGTCAAAAAATGTGTCTTTTGTGTTTGTATCTGAGTCGTCTGTGGGCGCGTAGATACCGAATATTTTAATTTCTCTTCCTTTTATCTCTTCCATGTCAACCGTTATGATCTTTTCGTCAACTGGGTTCCAGTCCATTATGAACTTCTCCATGACCTTTTTTATTGCAATAGCTACACCAGCTTTGGCCCGTTTCGATTTTTCTACTCCACTCCAAAAGCATATGTACTCATCTTTGTAGCTGTTTCCTTGTCCTTTCTTCTTTGTTTCGCTGAGTACTGCTATATCGATGTCGTATGTGTGGAGTTCTCTAAATACTTGATCATCTTTAGTGTTTAGTCCTTGTATATTCCAGCATCCAATATTCGTTAACCGTTTTCTTTGCTTTTGTCGTTTTCCGTGTAATCCGTCCGAATTCCGAGGCTGCTGTATGGGTTTTTTAGCAATGCTTTTTTTTCCACAGGGCGGGGAGCCAACCCGCCGCTACAACCCTCCTCCTTTATCCGGGCTTGGGACCGGCACTGGCAGTCACTGAGCTATTCAATCCACCCAGCATCTACCAGAGGCGGAGTTACTTTTACTCTTCTTCTTTGAATACTTTCATCTTTCTTTTTCACGCAAAGCTTCAAAAGACTCGGCATTACTTTTCATTTGTTCTCGCCTCTTTCTGTCGTACTCCTTTTATAATTTCCTTTTTTCTTCACTTAACTTCTTAATTTTCCCCATTCTTGGTATACGGATATCTGTTAAAAAAAATTGAAAACACACGCTGTACAACCTGGAGTTAAACAATAACACCCAAACCACAATTTTATATATGCCAAAATCATTCCCTCATATAATTGTCATTCCCTCACTTTCTAATATAGTGAAGGAATGACAGATTTGCATAAACAACACCGTAACCTACAGTACAGCACTTCAGATTGATTTAGCATTTTGTGAATGCATTTTACTTCCCAAAACAAGAAAAAAATCATTAAAACATTCGAACAATATAATGACTTACCTTTGGATATAAACAGTGAGGTAATGACACAGAGAAATGTAATTTTCTAATTATTGAAATCCAATACTTCTTTGCAGCAACTCTTTTCACTGTTATAGAATTATTAACAGTATTAGCAGTATTGCGAAGTTTCAAAAACATAAAAGCTGCCTTCAAAAATATCAAATGGTGTAACCAGAAATCGATTATTTATAATGGGTGAGGGATTGATTTCATTTCAAGGGACATAATGTTTAAATAGATTTTTTTATATACATATTTATTTTTTTAGCAATGAAAGCTTGACTATACAATCCATACTTATTACCCAGTATATTAGTAATATTCAATTTATAAGAATATGAACAGATTTGATTGTT